GCGGGCCCCGTCCGCCGATAATTATTTCGCTTCGATTTTGGACGAGACTCAACCCTATTCCCTTTCTAATTGGACTTCGTCCCCGTTTTTCTGAACGCCTCGGGCCTCGCCGGGATATTAGATGCGGGTACTTCTCGGGATACTTGGAACACGGATGGTGTACTAATATTTTCACACTGGAAACCTTGTACCTGGGTGTTATGTAGAGATCTTGGATATTTATGCGTTCATCGTGTAGGAAACTTCGAGATAAACTCGGATGTTTTTTATTAGAAATTGATTTGTTAACATTGGAACTAACGGGGAAATATATACATTGAGAAACATTGGTACTTTATATTTTATTTTATTCCATTATATATTTTATATATCGTAGTGATTGAGTATTTTATATATTGCGTTATACAAAGCTGAATGAAAACTTAATAACTTTGATGTATCAGTGGAGAGTCACCTTTCGAGAAAGAACGGTTAATAAGAGGAGTTACCTTTAAAAGAGACGTGGAGGCTATTCGAACAGGATACTTAGAAGATACGTTTATATTCGAACGCGTCCTATCTTCTCTATAAACGGAATATCTACGACACGAGCGAACGAATAAAAGTCGGTTTCTTCGAAATTTCTCGGGCACGATCGATGTTTACAAGGCAGCAATCGGCGATCGAGCCTCGCAGGAACGTCGTCCTCGGGGAACAATCCGCGCTATTCGTGTCAATTAGCAGGCGTGCAGGTGCAGGTGTGCTCACGCGCTCTCGGCGAGGACCGGCGGCGAGAAAAAGCGCAGGCCGCACTAATTGCGCGGTGCAAACGACGCCTAGGTTCCCGCCGTGGCCCCGGCACCCCTCGGGACGGTTGACGTAACCGTCGGTCAACGTTTTCGAGGAATCGAGGCCGCGCGGGGACCGCGAAGACGCGTGCCACGAGCGCGAAACCGTTTCGCGGACGCGGGCGTGAGAGCCTCGGGTCCGCGTCGCCAGCCGTAACGCGATACACGCCGTCGGTTTCTGCTTTTCCGCTGATCCCGAGGACCGTGCCCGTGCAATGCTATATTATAATTGCTGGAACGCGGAAGCGATACGCTTCTCGCGTGATCCGCTGCCTCACCGGTTCTCTTATCGGGCTCTAATCGAGTTTCAAACGAATCGGCCTGGGCCGAAACGTCGCGGGATTCGACGAATTTGGAATTCGATTTGAACCGGATAATCTGGTCGTCGTAGACATCGGAATCCCGATGATCCGATCATTTCGATTTCTTTGGTTACTTTATAGACTAATGAGATTAGCTCCTCGCGAATTAAAGTGGAAACTTGTAGCGACGACTGCATTAATGCATATGAAATCAGCGATTTGTTTTCTACAAAAAGCGACCTCGGAGATGTTTCTGTTTATCAATGAAATCCTACCTTAACGCCCATCTGGTAGAAGTATTATTGTACTGCTTAACGTACTGCAATAAGAGACAAACATTTTGTACTTACACGCAGAGAATTAAAGAAGATTGCAACGGCGGCCCGGTATTCTGAGCGAGAGGTAGAATTTCGGGTATATACCCGCGAGTTCATTCTACGGATTCTATACATTTCTGGGCTCTAATGTCCCCGGATAATTATGGCACGGCCCGGGCCATTTCGAAATTAATAGAGTCGTCGCGTGGAATCTCTGGAACGAGCCGTTGGCCAACGGCCGCGCGCCCTCCACGACGATAGGGCTAATTGAATTCGTGAAAAAGACTATTTTCGGTGGCCGGGATACGGGGGACGCGCAAAGATTGCGTTGCATTGGGGGAATCGCAAACCGGGAGGTAGACAGAGCGAGCTGGTAGGGTCTTTGGTCGGCAATGGCAGATATTTCGCGGAGCGGAACCGGGGAATGCGGTTCGATGTGACCATTTTGAAAGATCGTATTTGTGATCTCTATACTGTAAAGGAGTCGTTACGGGGCCGTTCGGATGCTGCTCGCGCAGCAATACTCTGCTGAAACAGCGATGTTCCGTCGCGGTGGAGTCCCATAGCTCGTTACACCGACGATATTATTTTTCTGGTTCGCTTACACGCTCCTTTTCTTCTCACGTCGCGGAACGCGCCGTCACGGGGCCGAATATACCTTTGCATTTTGATGGTTTCTTCCCTCCGGTGTTCCTGTTCGTGACCCACGCGAGGATTTCCGTTTTATCCCGAATGAACCTATCTCGGATAAAAGGAACGATAATAGATTCCGTTATACCCCGGGAGTTCGAGCTGCCTCTTGGAGTCCCTTTCGACTAATGAAATTAACCGAAGTTCAATCAACCGTTGTTTCGTTGAATGGAATCGGGAACTGTGTCGAAATAAAGAGGATCGGGGAAGGATTTAACTTCGAAAATTGTTTCACGATCCGCGTCGGAACAACTGCGGAATTTCATTGTCGGCGTTGATCTACTCTCGATAATCTACCCCGGATAAAAGGAACCGTGGATTCGGACGGCCCTGGGAACACCGGCGATCGGCGTCGCGTCCTGCTGTTTATATAATTGCCCGATAATGCACGCGACGGTAATTACAGATTCACTTGGAATCGATGATAATGCAGTGTTAATGTGGGAACGGGCCCCAATAATGCACAGATGTCTCTTCTCGGGATGCGATTTAGCGCTGAGCTGGCTGTAGCTTTTCGACACGATTAACGGGCCGAACCTCCTGGCTATCGCGCTATTTCATCCCGTATTGTGTTCCGCGCCGACTGGGAAAATACGGCTCGCATCGATTCCGGACAATAATGTAACTTACCCGTCCGTGCCGCCGCGATCAAGTGTTTCGATTTAGAAGAGCTGACGAACAGTTAAACGATCGGTGTGCGTTTCCCTCTAGATACGATATCGCGATTACGGTACAAAAAATAGAGGACACGGCGAAACGCATTTTCTACATCTACCTCAGCCACTAACGTTTGTCAACTTTTCTGCTGAGGGACGCACGCTTATGTAAGTCGACTGCGAAGTTATCCGGTTAGAGGCGTTCCTTCTAGGTCGAATATTAACATTCTCCGATCACATTCGCGAACTGCGACTATCTACGTTACATTATAACAAATTCATAGACACCTTAGCCATTCAGAAGATTCATCCAGTACTTCAACTTGACTTCGATCTATGCAACTCTACTCAATTCTCTATTTCCGAAGCTCTAATTATCAAAATCCACGAACAACTTCCCCAGGAGCGATACAATCAAGTTTTAATACGATCGACCAATCTGAATCAGCTTACGGTAGCTACAAAGTTACAGCAATCCTCGAAGAATCCAGGATAAGACAGGTCGAAAGACCCGGCCTCGCCGAGGCGAATAGAAGCAATAAGTCCGCTAAGCGATCGCTCCGATCCCACCGCCGCTCGGTCGCCCCTAACTCGCCGGCCTATAGGTTCCCATCGAAGAGCAGCGGCCGCGATTCCAGATTCCTCCGGTTTCTCGATCACGCCGGGCAGAAGAGGCGCGGCGTGCAGAAATCCCAAGGCCAGGCCGCGGATGACGTTACACATCGCGGGCCATTTAAACCCGGCCGCGGCGTTTCGTCTTCGGCCGCCGCGTGTCCGATTCCATCGGTATTTTCTCGAGGCGTGTACCGATCTCCCCCCACGCGAGGGGAACGACGCGAGCAGCGAGCCGTTTCGCGGCCGTCCGCGATTCACCGAGCCCCGGTCTCGCGTTCCAACGTACACCGGCGCGATCTCCTTCGAATTCCTGCCCGTTTTCGCCGGACAGCCCCGCTCGGGTCATCCGACACCGTGCGCGTGGCGGTCATTCGATCGGCCATATTGGATTCGCGCGACGCGATTCGCCGCAGTTCCTTCCTTCCTTCCTTCCTTCCTACCCGCCCGTTCGCACGTTTTCCTTCGTTCGTTCCTTCCGCGAGCGGTGTTACGCGGATAGAACACGTTCCACTTACAAAGGGAGAATTCGAATATCCTCGTGCCAGGTATCCGGGGCCAGCTCCCTCTAATTGGAAGCGTCCGATGTCGATAGCCGATTCTTGTTCGACGAGATGGTTTCCTACGCCTTCACCTCCGCGGGATCGGAATTAAGCGGGATCTCTCTGATGGTAGCCCGAGGATTGTCCAATTAAGTGCTGCTTACTGTTGCTTTGTTGCCGCGCTGCTAACTGCGAGCCGGGTTCTCCGTATAAAGACGAATTTCGCTTTGGATTCAATTTCACCGGGTATTCTATTGATTATTTGGGGGAAAGGTACGGAACGTTTCCTTAATACCGGCGCATCGGAGTCGAACGTTCGAGAGATTAAAGTGTAACCGCGTGGACTCGCGCTATTATCAAAACGTACGGTTCGTATAATTGTAAATTTCCTTAACGAAGCCTGGGAAATTGGATGTTTCGAGAACGTCCGGTTACCGGTGGAACGATCGGACATTTTTCCGGGAGGATCATGCAGTCGAGGATCGCGGGCGGTTCAATTTGGCAGACGATCGTACGTCGCGTATCTCGCGTCCACTTTCGTCATCGACGTGCCCCCGCTTGACGGGGAGAAGGAGGGACGGCGATGTGTAGAGAGCCACGCGGTTTCGCTCGGAGCTAAAGCGAAGAAAACGCTTGGTATCCGGGGAATGCCTGGTATGTAGGAGCGGCCGTTGCCTGGCCAGGACACGCGAGGATCCTCTTAACCGAGGAGCCCATTCCTTCGGTTACCGAACAAGGACGCCGCGCCTCGGCAGAAATGAATTCGACGAGTAGTAGCTGCGCCCCGAAGATCAACAATCTTCGCGGGGCCGAAGATGGCGGCCGATGATCTTCGGCGAACGACTCGAAGAGAACATGCAAGAAGATGCCCGGCCTCGAAGCGACTGCATTCTTCGGTGCATCTTAGTCTCGAGAAAATCCCGTGTTATCCGCTCGCGACCGAGCAAACGAACTTCACCGGCAGCGGCCGTCCGTTCTTGCCGGCCGCGTATGACTCGCGAAGTCGCCGTTTTTCGGACCGCGTAACGAATAATTCTTGTTTCTTCTGTTTCAGAGCCGGCGAGCAGTGTTCCCCCCGTTCGCGGGCGCGGGAACGATCGGAGAAGAGAGATCCGGCCAGATACGGCCGGTACGTTTTCTTCTTTTCATCGATTCATACGATACATATCTTCGTGATAAATGAACCGCCGCTATCAGATTTACTTCTTCATCGGCGGGGCGTAATTGCTACAGCTTCCACCGGCCTATTGATGATTATGTAACTCCGCGTGTCCGTGGAATGACGACTGATAGGACTTCAACTTGGGTTGGCGGTTTTGTTACGTCCATGTTCTTCCTGGATTTTCTTTCGACTTCGTATGAGTAATTGCTCGCTGATGTATCTATTAGCTTTATAGCCGGAAAAACCTCCAGCGTAACTCGGTGAGTGGTCCACGTTTTTCAAACGGTTACGCGATAAATGTCAATGATAGTTAACGAAAAGAGATTTATTTAGAAAGCCGATGCGCGTGCGGTGAATAGCTGAACAGGATTTTATGCAAGATTCAGCGTACCGATAAAACCAATTGAGAATATAGACGTTCGATGCTTTCAGCGAGATCGAGTCGTGTCGCCGGAGATTACTTTAGATAAACACAGATTTCGTTTTTTATCTTCTCGCACAACCGAATCGAAGGATTCGTGTGTCTCCCGTGAATGTAAGCGTCACACCGAAACGTTTAATAGCAGCAAATCGGCCCATCTGGCGCGTTCATCCCGCGCGACCGTGGACGTATCGTTCCGGCTTCACGGGAGTTAGGCGCAAAGGTAAGGCCGACTCTATTCAATAACCATCAAAAGCCGGCGAGCGTCGATTCTGTAATGTTATTACCATCATTACCGATTAATAACTCAATTGCCGGAAACTATATGTTTACCGTGTTCCCCCGCCGGCCGAGGCGGACGGCTCGCTCGAGGAATTCCGACCTTTGTCCGAAGAATTTCGTGCTCTTACGGCCGTGATTACCGATTAATGATTGAAATCTTCGACCGGCGCTCGTTTATTCGCGGCATTCTAACGGGAGGCCGCAGCAGACATTCAGATTTTCACGGAGAGATCTCAATCTGGCGATCATTTCCATCGTAAATCCTTGTCCGGCGATTTTTTCGAATGGAAATGCAGCACTGTTTATTCATGCGATCTCGGCCTAATGGAAAAACCTGTCTTCGGTACGACAAACCGCTTGTAAATGGACTGCAAGCGTTTATGCAGATTGCCAATTTTATGGATCTATTAAAAGGAAAAACCAGCGTAAATCTATTTCCCGAGGAAAACAATCGTAAAAAAGAAATTATCATTATCGCGGAAGGTGTCGGCGGTGTCTCAGATACTGGAACGAGACTCGAAATATTCTATAAACCGATCGATCCCACTGTTCGTCGGTGTTGAATAAAATAAACGGGTATAATGGAAGCATATTTTCACCGGGAGATGCGTTCCCCATTAGTAACCCGGAGCCATTACAGACCTAATGCTCGGTTTCACCGAAGAACGTTCCATTTCATGGTGGAAACGCAGTCACCAGGCCACCCTTTCGGCGTTCACCAAAGAGAAAGCACCTATCGTCGAGAGAAACTCGCACGGAGGCGACCGGGTCGTACGTTCTCCAAGAAAATTCTTCGCCGATCGTCGATGGTGTTCTCCCGGTAATAAACGGTTTCAGTCTATCGGTACGTCCATCATCGATGACAGATAATAAGTTCGAGGCGTTACTGGCCGCCGTGTTACACGCGGAATGATTGTTCTCTAAATAGACGCAGCTGTAACGTTCGATTCGATATCGAGTGGACGGTGTTACAATATGATCGAACAATTCGAAACAATTGAAGATTGTTAGCCTCCTTGAACTTTTAACGTAAAATATACATGCGAATCGAACGAACTCTTAGCAATCGGTGATTTGGAAATCTAGATTCTTAGCAAACGGACGAACAATGGAGAAATTGTTACATTCCTGGACACTCTATGGAAAAGGGGAGTAATAGGAAACTCGTTGTATTTCTTGGGGATCAGTGTTTCCTACGAGTTCTTTATTTTAAGCGATCGTTACGGTTCCACGGACCTTTTTCATTGCCGCCGACACGACAGGGCGGAAACCGACTCCGATCGCGGACGGGAGATTAGCAGTGGCGCTCGTGCCGCGGAATAAATGCGGTATCGAGCCGGAAGGGAACAGCTGTCGCTGGTTCCGCGTGCCGGAGGTCGCGGCGGAGGCTGCACCCTCTTCCGACGATCCATTACGAAGTTGCTGGAGCCACTAATTTATGTATTACTAGCTAATCCCTGTAACCGAGTTGCCAACTTTAAGTTCCGTCGAGTAGTCGAGCCGACTTAAGTGCTGCGAAACACGTGGAACGGAAACGGAACACGGAAAGATGAAATCCAACGGCCGGGGACGGCGAGCGGCGCGAATAATGGACGTTGTCGAACAAAATGGTCGAACGATCTTCGGCAACGATCATTTCGCCGCCGGACAACGCGAGCACGTCATAATCGACGCGTCGCCGCGATGACTGGAGGAACAACGACGAGTTACAACATCGCGGTGCTTGTGCAATTATTAGCGAAGTGTTACGGATTCGTTTTTATCGGTCAGATAGCGGGAACGACGTTCGCAGATTGATAATCAGATCGATTTCGATAGTAGTAAAGAGCAAGGTGGCCGGCTAATCATGAAATATATTAAGTCGCCGCGGTAACGACCGGAATAAAAGTCCAGAGTCGTTCACAATTTACGGGGATATATCATCTCGTCCTTAATGAAACCCAATAAACCCATGTTAATCGACTTGCACGGTACTTTTCGGGTATTCCGCGGCCTCGACGCTTCTGCTTCTTCCCGAAACCATCTCTATCCAGAAACGATCGAATCCTCCCTCGCTTAACAATCTATCGCCAGGAGACAACGAAAATCCAATTGAAATATTGAAGTCGCCAAGTAAAATCGATCCTCGAAATTGAAACCAAGACGCTCTAATTCATCGAAGCCGCTCGGAAGGAACCAAGGTAGTCCGCATGAACGAAGGTACATTGCGATACGAGTCTCGCGAAGTTTTCGGCGGCGGAGTAGCGCCGGTTGCAACGCGATTGCTCCGCGTCTATGGAAACCGAGCACGGTAACGAACTGTTACACGGTCTCCGATGAAATTTCGAACCGCTGAATATCTGGAGCGCGCGTCTCCAAGTCCGAGTCACGGTTGTCTTCCATTCCCGAAGCGAGTTGCAGCGGCGGCCACGCGCGGCACTTATCAGTCGATTACACTGGCGGATAACGGCGAGAACAAGGCCGGCGCTATTTAGCGAATTCCCTAAGCCTGCCGCCGTCGCGGGAACTTCCATGAGATTTTAATGACCGCGGCACGACGAGCGGCGCGCCCCCGCCCCGCAGGTTCATCGATGGAAGGGCTGAACACGGAGGCCGATGCATTGATCGATAATGACGGCAATAAAACCTGCCGCGTCACCGTAGTAAATCTTCCGCCGCGGAACCGGGATCTTCCAACGCAACGCAACGCAACGCAACGGAACGCAACGCAGGTGCCTCGCGGTTTTCATTACGAGTGGCAATAACCGAACGGGGATTCCTCTCTCGCCGAGGGTGATCCGCCGGTCCAGCCTTTTGATTAACGCGATTGCGGCCCGGCCATAGGCGGATTAAAATCAGCTGCCTGTGCAATCTCCGTTGATTCGAATTTACTATTTTACCCGGCGGATTTGAAAGCGTTCTTAGCGTACGAAGATGTTTCACGGTTCGTTTGCTTTTAGTGCGGAGGCCCGACGGAAGTTTGTACGATAGATTGGAAACAGAAGGAGGAGTCGGGAGGGATGCAGGATGATTTGTGTTTCTCGGGGATTCTCGTGAAAATTGATTCTTCTCGGAGTGTTCGTGGTTGATGCCGGTTCTTCGGGATGTCGGTGTTCGCTGGTTTAGCTCCGTTTCGAGAGGACCCTGATTAATCTCGGTGGATTCGGGCTAAAAATCTGCGCGGAGAGTATCAGTCTATCGAACTGTATCGAACGAGAACGCGTTCGGGAATATTTGGGTGGAACTCGAATTTGACGTCGAGACGATTCGGTGGGAATAGACGAGCCGCGGGATGCCGGAAAGCAAAAGTGAGGAAACGGGAACAGACGCGAGGCGTGTCAGCGTACGCGCGCGTCATTGGAATTAACATGGCTTTATCGGGTAAAGTTTAGCGGCGGCTCGCCGCGAAGCATTCCAGGAATGATCGTTTAATAATATTCCGTTACGTTGGACGTACAAGGTGAACCGGTGTGAAAGGTGATTGCAACGCGGATGCATTTTTATTCGCTTCCACGACTTTCAAGAAACGTATCCACGTTTAGCGATAACGTGAGCGAAAACTCCAGATTCGCCGCGCCGTTATTCGCCGATTTTTCCCGTCGATCCTGTCGATTAGGCTCGCCGATCCGGCGACGGGGACGACTTCGCGGTCCTCTCTTTGCCTTCGTTTCGCGCGGCGCGTCCTTGCCGATCGTAATGGCCGCCGATCGGACGCGAAATCGCTTAATCTTCTTCTTCTCGGTCGAAGCTGCCGCGGCCGGCAGCACGAAAAAGGATAAGGAAAACGCGAATGCACCTGCCAGCCGTGTACAGCCGCCGAGTGTAATTCAAATCGAAGAAATACGAGGGTTCGATCGACGCGTATCCCGTGAAGCTGCGGGTACGGGTGAATTAGTAATCATCTCGTAACAAAAGAAAGTGTCTACACACGGAAAAAAAGGGTCAAGAGGATCACGGATCGGACGGCACGACGACTGCTCGACAGCAAAGGCGACGTGACCTTTCGTAAATCGAACTTTTCCTCGATTGGAGAACGTATCCAGCATGGTTCTCTATTACGGACCGGGACATTAATACTTCTCCATAGTTTTCCAGGTTTTAATGACACTTAATGACGGACTTTAATGCGGAAGAACTTTCCTAACGCCATATACGCGGCCGAAGAGGAGGATGCTCCCCGGACTTTCGTTGCGTAAACGAGACGCGGTAAAACTCGACCTCTAAACATCAATGTCTGCGAACAGCGAGGCTCACGATATTAATCGGCGTCCACGTTGAACGAAGAAACACACGCGTGCCCAGGATTCCACGCGACCGGACCTCATTCGTCCCCGGCAGGCGCGTAAATACCCACGGTTTAACGCGGATCGAATGCGAACGCTGTTAAGTAATCAATTTATATAATCGCGCCACATTTATTCTAATTCCACGTTCCGCGTCTCTGCGGCGGAAAATCCGGCCGACCAGTCCAACGGTCCGGCTGGTTATCAGCGATCGAGGATCTCGATCGGACATAATCGAGCGGCCTCATTAGACGCGGAATAAGCGATAGGCGCAAACAAATGGAGCATTCGCGGCAGTCGGCGTGCGGTAACTATCTCGGCGACGGGTCGCGTCATCGGGCGTCGGTGTAATAACAGTCGGGGCCGGCGCGCGCGGTGATTCGGTGAAAATTACACGGTGCAATCGGATCGCCGGTGATCCCGCTAAGCGTCGAAGGTAAGCGCGACGAACGGTAATCTTCGGAAACGGCGTTAAATTGACCTGCCCGACGACGGGACGGCGCGGGGCTCGCGGGGGAGCGGCGGGATCGCGGGGAAGGGGAGAAGAAATCCTTGTTACCGCCAGAAGAGGTAAGAGGTTGTAATTTCCCCGGGCCGGTTGATTTAATCCCGATCCCGTGTCAATTCGACCGGGCCACTTTTGCCCGGTGACCATTGACTTAGAAACTTTATTACCGTCATTACCGGTCCGCGCGTATATCAGCCGGCCGGCGAACGCGCGGCTCGGGGAGCAGCAAGGTTGAATTTAATTCCCCGCGCGCCTATCGCGCCGCCACGACGATTCGACGGGAATAACCGCGGAACGATTTTATTAGCGGCGGTTGCATGCCGCGACGTATCAATTTGCCGATCGTCGCTTTCTTGCCGCGGGATTCGATCGAACACCGGAGTCACGAATGTTTGCCCGCCGGTTACAGTACGTCTTTATTGCGCGCGTCTCCGAACTACACCGGGGGAACGAATTGACGGGCAATATTGATACTGGAAAGAGGACATCCGTCGTAATCTGGCGATCGAACTCGAGCTGTCTGTCCGTGGATTTACTATTTTCGTAAACATTCCGGCGCAATTGAGATATTCCGAACACTTCCACATTCCCAGTACACCTACAATTCGAGCCGGATGAAAGCACGGTCATTCTCACGGACCCTTAACGTCCCGCTCTCCGGTTTCAACTTCTCCGTGCGTCGCTCCATTTTCTCGGCGTGAAGGATGCGAGAAGA